AGTGCAAGTGCCCCCACTCGTTTTCTCTTTATATATAGAGAGTAAAATAATAGAAAAATGTAGTGAGCGACACGTGAAACTCTCCATTGAACTCGCTTTGAAACTCTTTATTTTGTATTGTATGTAAGGGTTTTGTCTTTTCGTTATTGTTAAATTGTTATTATTAATTATTGTTACTGTGAGTGGCGATTGATTATATAAAAGTTCCTTTTTCACGTTCCTTTTTCTTGCAAAGTAGTCTGCATGGGATCCGCGTCTATCCATTTGGGTATTATTGCATGTTGAAATTAATTTGGCACAGCATTAAAAAAAAGATTTATATGTCAAGAATCTTCGTTATTGCTAGTTTCTACATAAACTGAATCACAGATTTTTTGTGTAAACGAAGCGAGGATGAACTGTGGTATGAAACTACAGAAATTCGCACACACAAAGAAAAAAAAAAACCACAGAAAATATTAAATCTCCAAAAAATACAGATTAATATTACTGTATATTCATCAAAAAAAAATTTTATGTTTTTGAAAAGGGCATCATATATTCAAAAGAGTTTCCGGTAAATAACTATATATGTTTTAAATTTTTAATCACAAACTTTTAATATGACTAAACCAACCTCGTGAAATCTCAAAATCAATAACCCATTTTGAATCTGAATCTCGATTTGTGTTGTATATATATATATATATTCCCAAATGGTGAATGGATGACTGTTTGAACCATCATTTAGTTAGTTTATTTCGATGTAAATAATTCATAATTCATAATTCATAGCCCCACCAACTTGATAACATCTATATGATTAGTGACGCAATGTCTTTTTGGTGTGTGGTTCAATTCAATTAGGTTAAACTTTTACATCCAATCTGCAAATTTGGAGAGAGCATTTAGGTTAAAAAGTGGCAATTGGTCAGGTTTCTTTGTGGCTAAGTAGACCAAAAGGATTGGTGAGTGATTTCAAGTATGTGGACGTCTGAAAATACTATTACGACAATGACGTCATCTTTTCATTCTATCCTCAAAACGGTCACATCTCATATGAGGTTACCCTTTTGCCCTTATATTCCTTACATATTTTTATCCTTTTTAATTATAAAAACCAAAAAGGAGGCATTTATTTTAATAAAAACTTTTTTGTTCTTTGAATGTGGGCTACCTTTTAGATTCTTTATTGTCGCTCTCTTTGACCAGTTAAGTTATTTATTAAAAACAAATCGGAAAAAAGTTATGAATTTGATTGCAACATCAAAGTTATGTTGAGAGATTATATTAACATAAGCATATATAAGCTACAATATAAGAGACGATGTTTAACCATGGTAAGTAGATATTACAAACGCTAATTTATTAAAAAATTGCATCTTATGTCTCTAAAAAAAAGATTTTTCTAACGAAAGAAAGTCTTGAAAAATGGATACGTTAATTTGGCAGGTGTACTGGATGGATCCGTGAATCGTGAGTAGTGGCAACATGGCGACAAACCCAAATCCTAGCTGGGACTCTATTGGTGGATTTGCTCCTGCCCTAAAAAAATATATAATATATCTTGACAAAAGAATATAATTAAAACTTAAAGTTCAAAAAAAAAGAATATAATTAATATATATATATTTAATGATTTTTTGTAACGCTGATTAGTAACGTCTGTCTATATACATAAAGTTTTGATATTAACAATATTTTCGGAAATAAAATAAGATTAGTCGTGGACATAACTCCAATATTGTGGGGTAAAATAGTTTTGAAGACTAACCAAGCATCTATAAAATTTCGAAGAAAACAGAATAACCTTCTATAAATTTTTAAGATAACAGATTAAACAAGCTTCTATAAATTTAGGAAAAAGACAGAATATATATATATATATATATAACTTGTTAAAATTATTAATAATAATAAAAACAAAACAAAATCTATACTGAAAAAATTTCAACACGTTTTTGTATTTTATAACCAATTTTTCAAAACCCCTTTTACCTTCCATTTTCTAACAATTTAATGGTATGTTTTTGTTTTCCATGGTGACACGATGAAACCCTAGTATTGTAGCTACTACACTTGCCCTAAAAAAATGCGTGGATCAGTGACGATCAACTTCGTTTGGATACACACATGACTGACACATATATTATTTGTTGACAATAATTAGATTGAGGAATATAAATAATAATTGAAGAGATCCAAAATGGTCAAAAAAATATTATTCTTAGACACGAATATAAGAAAGTCATTCATCACATTCACAGCGCACAGGCTTTTCTTCTTACCTATATTCAAGAAATTTGTTTTCTTTGAGTTTCAAAAATATATATTGAATAATGCATTGTATGTAGAAGCAAACCACATAAAAGATTGAGTTAGGAGTGGTCTTATATCAGTTTTAGTTCACGTTTCAGGTTTAACAGGTTTCGTGTAATTCGATCCGAATATTGTTTCCATATATATATATATATATATAATGAATTTGTTCTGTTGAATATATTCACGTCCGTTGGGTATTACTAAAAATATAGTTTCCTAGCTCACTAATTTTGTCTAAGATTCACTAAAATTATCAGATGAGTTAACTCAGCTCATGAAGAGTTATATCTATAGTTTCCTATGAAATGGTAAAAAAAAACATATCAAAGAAAATAGTTTTTTTCTATAGTTTCCGTTAATTTTTTTTTTGACATTTAGGAAACTAAAGTTTTAATAAGAACATGTATATGGCATTCTAGTGAAATCGTAAAATAAATAAAAAATGTCACTTTGCTATAATTAGTTTCTTGTGTCAAATGACTAAATGAAAGTCATGGAAAATTACAAAATAAGAATTGTTTTTTTTCTCGTTTCAAATTGATCCCTGTTAGCTAGAAGATAGAAAACAGTTGCAAAATCAAAACAAAAGAAACTAAAAAAGGAAGAGAAAGAAAAAGTGAGGGTGAGAAAGTAGATACGATTCTCTCTCAATCTCTCTGATATTTCAGTCATAACATGAGAGATCATTAATTTCATTGTTTGTTAGTGAAAAGAAAGTGACGTTTCAAAGACGTATCCTAAACGCAAAATTCACTTGTCTTCTTTTTTTTTTTCCTTTAAACATTTGTATCTCTGAAAATAGTCAAGTCCCTCAATCAAAACGCTCCCTCACACTTAGAACACACAAAAAAATTAAAAAAGGAGGCACAAAATCTAAAGATAGATTATAGAAATCGAGACAAAATCAATATTTCAAAAGTGAGAAGATATTCTTGTTCCTATTTTTACAGCTCTGTTTTTTCTTTGACGTCTATTATCACACACCACCAACCAACCAAACTGCACTATGATAATAAGTAGGTTTTTACTCTTGTGCTTCTTTTTTTCGTTTATATTTATTTTTCCTTTTTTTGTGTGTGGCAAGAAGTATATCATAATTCGACTCTACTGAACGTGGGCCGGTAAATAGTAAAGACAATAATTGACCAAAATACCGTAGTAATTTGTGAATGAAAATATAAAATGACCTATTTTTTTCAAATTACAAAAGCATGCTAGTGACTTTCTCTCTCTTTTTCAGTTAAATTATTTATTCTAAATTCAAAAAGTCTTATAGCTCTAAGACCATCTCCAATGTACATTGCTATTTTATCTCTTAAATAGAAGAACTCTAAAATAGAGGTGGATCTCTTTCCAATGTGTTCCTCTATTTTTTCCTCTAAAAAAATATATTATTAAAATATTCTTTATTCTAATTTATTAGTAACACCTTTTGTTTCTAAAGTTCATAAATTAACTTTATTTTTTTTTTACAAAAACTTTCATAAAATTATAATAATATTAAAATTAAATATTTATTATACAAAGAACATCACATTATATCATATAAAACATAATATATATTTTAATTTATAAAATTATCTAGGACTAAATTTGAAATGAAAAAAGTTCATATTTAATTATATTATATGTTTTCATAATTTTATATTATATATTTAGTCATATTATATATTGGATAGATGATTGTTCATTAAATATATAAAAATAAGTTATATAAACAATTAATTAAATTTCTATATTTGTTATGCAAATAAAATAAAAAGATTTAAAAATTAAAAGACTAATTTACAAATATAAAAGTTAATCTTTATTATAGAGGAAGAAATAGAGTTCCTCTAAATATAGAGTAAAAAATAGCATTCTATGTTTTAGAGGAAAAAATAGAGGTGAATTGGAGAGAATTTTCTTCCAAACTCTATTTTTTCTTCTAAAATAAAAGTAGTTTGGATATGCTCTAAAACCAAACCAAACTGAATTTGGAGTTAGGGTTTTGACTATAAATTTATCTTTAGAAATAAACAATATTTGAACGATCTATCCACCATAAAATAAATTCAAATATAAACTCAAACATAAAACATGAATCTATCTATCCAACCATAAAATAATTCACAACAAAATTAGAGGCTTGTCGTAAATTATCAATCCAAGAGGGTTCAGCAAGGCGCTTTGGAAATAGTAAATCATCGAAAGTCTGAAAGGGTTCATGACTTCAAATTCATGATTAATTATAGTTTTTTCCGATATGGGTCTGACTTTAATCTTCGTTTTTTGAAAACCACATATCATTGACTTTACAAAATTGGACTGAGTGATTTGAAAATGTAAAATGCTACTGTTACCATATTGAAAAATCAAATTTTGTGCCTCCTTTATATTTCACATTTTCAAATCATTTTGATTGTCTCCCACTTTTGTCTTCACTAATGGGCCTAAGTTGTATGGGCTTATCTTCTTTGTTTATACTATAAATTTTGTACGGGCCTATTTCACATGTTAGACGCGCTCTCTTTTCAATTTTCACGTCTCGCTTTGTTTTGGCTGCAGCTCGGCGTTTCAAATAGACTAAAGTCAGTGTAAATAAGCTGATCCCCGAGGAAACCAAACGACAGAGAACACAAAGACGATAAGATTTATTCAACCCAACAAAAGAGAAAAAAAACAAAGATAATGAGATATCATTTAGACCAAAATGGGACTCAAAACATGATCAAGAAAGAAAAGAGAAGAACCAACAAACATGAAGAAACGATGCCATTAGCTCCAAATGTGAAACCTCCTCCAGAGTTATTGTCCTTACTGGCCGGAGAAAAGCTACCCTCCGTTGTATTAGTAGCGAGGATGACCACAATCCAATTATCATCAGAACCAATACCAATTCCGGTGAACTTGGAATCATTCAGGCTCCTGGAGTACTGTGACGACTTTGTGAAATTGGACAAGACAAGGCTCTGGTCAAGGTTAGGAACACAAGCTGGCATTATCACACCGTCTCTGATCGCGGCTATGTCGAGGCTGCATTTGTCGAGGAGTTTAAGGTAGTCTGGGATTCCAGGTTCGGATCCGGGCACTGAAGCTGAGCCAGTCGAGTTTGTGCAGGGTCGGTTCTTGAACTTGTCTGCGATTTCGTCAGCGAGACATTCTGCGTTGTCGTTTTGTGTCAGTGCTGTTAGGTTTAGCGATGTTCTGTAGTCGTTGATGCTTCTTAGAAGAATGTCTTCCTCATCTTTGTGGCATTTCAAAGAAAAGAACACACAGAATCAAATTTGCAGGTGAAGCAGTAAATATCAATCGGAAGTAAATTTAGTAAGAACGGTCAATCCGACTTTTGTAGAAACGATCGAAATCTATCGAAGAAACTGGAATAGAGAGGCGTGAAATCAAAGAGATTCGACGATTTTCAGAGCAGATCTATGTCAAAACCATAATCGACAGTGTCGAGATATTGAAAAGTCAATGACATTCTTACGGAAATGAGAGAGTTACCGTTGTCGGAAAGAACAGGACGATGAAGGGAGAGAAGGACTGAGAGAAGAAAGAGTGAGTGGAGCTTGGAAATCGCCATTGACGCAGAGATTCTTAGCTACAGCCTACAGCGACTATAATGGCTCTTGTCTCTGTTTCTCTCTATTATTTGCGAGAATGTTAGTTCCAAACCACTACTCTCTTCATAGAATTCGGTTTGTTCTCTTTCTCCTGCACATCGAATTTAAAATTAACACATATATGTTAAAAAAAAATTTGCGAAATTTGCCCTTAAAAAAAAGTAAACACTATTTTCTCGGGCAAGATTATTTTTCTTGACATAAAAGTCTCTTTGTAGAATATGCCATTGTGAAACAGGTCAAGACAAAAGAGCCATATATATCATAAAAATCTAAAACACAAAACAAAAACTGGTGGTGGAAGTAACTTGTTGAAGATAGGGTGGAGCAAATCCTTCCAAATATTCAAGTAAAATGCAAGTCCATGCAACTCTCTTTTATCTTCCCCTCTCTTCAAACCTTCCAAGAGCTAATATCTCCAGCGAAAATGGTGGTTTCTGCTGACTGCAGAATCTCCCTCTCTGCCCCGAGCTGCCTACGCGGCTCCACGGGCCGCTTGACCAGGCACATTAAGCTTGGCAGCTTCTGCAATGGAGATCTCATGGGGAAGAAGCTCAATGCTAAGGTTCCAAATGTTCTTCTTCGATCTTCTTCCACCAGCTTTTCCCACAAGAGAATTCAAATGTCTTTAACCAATGTCGCTGGAGAGAGTAAGGTAAAAAAAAAAAAAAAATTAACCTTTGTGCTTCTGCTTTTTATTCTTCTTCTTTGATCTCCTAGCTCATCAAAAAGTGCCCTGCACTGCGTTTGTTCATGTCAACAACCTCCAGGTACAAGAAACTGAGACTGAGAAAAGGGATTCAAGAACTGTCGCTTCCATCATTCTTGGAGGTGGAGCAGGAACTCGACTCTTTCCTCTCACAAAACGTCGAGCCAAGCCTGCTGTTAGTTGCTGCTTCTCTGTTGCAAAGTTTCCAATGTTGCTGAATCTCCTGCATCACAAAGTATATAATTAATTTGGGAATATGCGTGCAAAATTGCAGGTCCCTATCGGGGGAGCCTATAGGTTGATAGATGTACCGATGAGCAACTGCATCAACAGCGGAATCAACAAAGTATACATACTCACGCAATATAACTCAGCATCATTGAACAGGCACTTAGCTCGTGCTTACAACTCCAATGGAGTTGGCTTTGGAGATGGCTATGTTGAGGTTTCATATTCTCTCTTCATCACCCATTATGAACTAAACTTGTTTGATGCATCTGAGGCAATTGCTTGAAACATAATCAGGTTCTTGCAGCCACTCAAACGCCTGGAGAATCTGGTAACCGGTGGTTCCAAGGTACAGCAGATGCGGTTCGGCAATTCCATTGGCTTTTCGAGGTAAACCTCAGACTTTAACTAGCTTATCTTCACATGACAAACAAAGGGTCCAACATTTTATTATATATAATAGGATGCAAGAAGTAAGGAGATAGAAGATGTTTTGATCCTCTCTGGAGATCACCTGTACAGGATGGATTATATGGATTTCGTACAGGTGAGACAAGATTTCTTAAGCCCATGTCCTTCATCAATAGTTAGTTGCTCTTAGAGACTCATATATATTCAACTTTAATCTGCAGGATCATCGGCAGAGTGGCGCAGATATAAGTATTTCCTGCATTCCTATAGATGACAGGTGAATGCAAAAGAGTAAAAAAAGATCTTTCACTTATTATATTGAATCAAAGATCATGATTTCTTATAGTCTCTTTATGTATTACATGGTAGACGTGCCTCAGATTTTGGTCTTATGAAGATAGATGACAAAGGAAGAGTTCTCTCTTTCAGTGAAAAACCTAGAGGAGCCGACCTGAAAGCCATGGTATGTTGACAATACCCGGGAATCATGTTTGAACAATATGAAACATCTTGGAACATAACCTGAAGATTGTTCTAACCTCGGGTATCCTTAGGCAGTAGACACAACTATTTTAGGACTTTCCAAGGAGGAAGCTGAAAAGAAACCATACATAGCATCAATGGGAGTTTATGTTTTCAAGAAAGAAATACTGTTGAATCTCTTGAGGTAACAGTTTAAGCTCCATATTCTGAAGAAAGCCCTGTGCAAAAATAAATATCTTGCAAGTGTTTTGAAATCAGATGGCGTTTCCCCACAGCAAACGACTTTGGTTCAGAGATTATACCCTTCTCAGCTAAAGAATTCTATGTGAATGTGAGTAACATTCAGTTTAAGCACACCTATTACGTCCATTGAGTAGCGTTATTATATCAAAGGGATAACAAGATCTTTTGAGCAGGCTTATCTCTTTAATGACTACTGGGAAGATATAGGAACGATAAGATCTTTCTTTGAGGCAAACCTCGCCCTCACTGAGCATGTAAGGACAAAGCATTTCTGAGACAACTTTATTTTCCAAGACATTGTTCATAATCATATATACACATTTTAATATCACTTACGTCTGCCTCTATACCTTTTAGCCACCCGCATTTAGTTTCTACGATGCAGCGAAACCAATATATACATCCAGGAGAAACCTGCCACCATCGAAAATAGACGGCTCTAAGGTAAGTAAAACTAGCCATCTCCTTCTATGTATTTCGGTTTTTGGCCTACTTTCTTCAGGATTAACTCTAAGGTTCATTGCATGTGAAGCTCGTTGATTCGATAATTTCTCATGGAAGCTTCTTAACCAACTGCTTAATTGAGCACAGCATTGTGGGGATTAGATCTAGAGTAGGCAGTAATGTTCAGTTGAAGGTAGGCGAAACAAACATCCTTCTAAATCATAATGAAAGGATTAGACTCTACGATTATATGATGATCTAATTAGCATGGAAACTCTAGGACACTGTGATGCTTGGGGCAGATTTCTACGAAACTGAAGCAGAAGTTGTATCATTGCTTGCTGAGGGAAAAGTTCCGATTGGAATAGGAGAGAACACAAAAATTAAGTAAGACTAACTATCAACTTGACATGGTTTACCTTAGAAACAGTTCTCATTTGTGGAGCTTCCTCATTCCTTTTTGCCTTCTCCTTTTCCCTACAGAGAATGCATAATAGACAAGAATGCTAGAGTTGGGAAGAATGTAATCATCGCAAACTCGGAGGTAAAAGAATTATTTTATTCAAGAAAAAAGTGAACCCATCAGAGATACAATTCTTCGTTTGCTTTATCTCATAATGTGATGGTTTGCAGGGAATACAAGAAGCAGATAGGTCATCTGATGGATTTTACATCAGATCTGGCATTACAGTAATCTTGAAGAACTCAGTAATTGGAGATGGAGTTGTGATATGATTACTTTTAAGCTTTAATTGTACGACTACTACGAACTAAGAGTGCAGAGCAGAATAGTCAAAACTCAGCTAATGGAGCAATTTATTTCATATTGACGACATTTCTCATACAATCTTTCCATGTAACCGATAAGTTGCATCATGAAAAAATAAACGGAGAAAAGAAAGGCAAAGATGCAGAGTTTATATGTACAGCAAAAATTAATACTGTACCTACAACATCAGTTCCTCGCAGCTGAACATTAGTTCATTTTCGAATCTTTGCAAGACAAATCTTTCCTCCGAGGTGATCAGGTTGGTAACAATGCACTTCCTGTCCGAAAAGGGTTTCCGACCAGCTCTTCCGGCTCGGTGCAGATAATCTGTAGCCGTCTGCGGGAGATCAAAGTTGAAGATATGAGTTGTTTCCGGTAGATCAATCCCTCTTGCTGCAATATCAGTGGAAACAAGAAGAAACCCTCCTCCTTGCCGGATTTCCTATGAGAAATCATGAAGGTTAGGAACAAAGAGTAAGCATCCAGGATCAGAATCTGAGGAAAACAGAACCACGTACGGTTAGTGAAGCTGCTCGTGAGTTGAAATTCATGTCTCCCTCTAGTAGGAGGATCTCCAGCAAGCCATCATATGAAGCTTTAAGAAATTCAATAAGTAGAGTTGTAGATGGATCGTTTCCAGCCTTTTTTGACTTCTCAGACTGCAAAGATGAATCAGAAAAGATTGTTACATGGTAAGATTTAAGTGAAGTCAGAAGGGCAAATATATTAGAGGTTTTCAAAAACCTGCTCCCCGGCAAAAATAATAGCTGATTCAGGTGCATCAGACTCTAACAAAGCAAGCAGTATTTGGTGCTTGTTTCTCTTCTCACACACCTGCCAATATACAGATCAGATGTAGCAACAGATGCATATCATGGCAAAGGAAGTGGAACAAGTTAGATCTTACAGCAAATCTGTGAAGAAGGCACAAAGGCATGGGCATGATTGCGCTAACATGAATATGAACCACATCCCTCTGCAGAAACATGACAAAAGGACAAGTGAAATGATAATTTGGTTTATAAACCAAGCCCGACAAAGATTCACAGTAAAAAGAACTATCTATAAGCTAACCTTTGTCCACTTTTGCTGTATACAGTCATGCACAAAATGTTTATGCTGAGGAATGGAAGCACTGGCAAAAACTGTCTGACGTTTATCGCATGAGGAAAATGATGTCAGAAGCTTCCGCACAGAACCGACTTGTTTTGATGAGTAGAATAAGAAATCAACCTATCAAGTGACCGTTCAAAAATATATTCCTGGGTGAGAAAATGTTCAATGTTTCAAACAGCCTCTATCATTCATAGTTGAGAAAGTTCTTACCTCATCTACAACAAGAACTCTCACCGAGTCAAGTCTAAATATGTGCTTTTCTAACATGTGGCACAAACTTGCTACCGTAGCGACCACAATTACTGGTGGCTCAGCCTGAAAAAAGAATAAACTTTCTGAACTAAATCACAAGAAGAAGTGATTGAAATCATGCTGAGCTAAATCAACCTAAGTTCTCAAACTTAATATAAGAAGCAAGTACAATGTCCAAGTCCAACCTTTAGCCAGCTTTTGTGCCTTCTTAGCATCCCTCCATCTAAGAGAGCCATTACCGTACATCCTTTAACCTCAATATCAGATTTTGCAGCCAACATTCGAGCGACTTTTGTAACCTTAAACCCAAAGAGACAACAATCTCGAGTATGTCATAAGAAGACAGAGTCAAGAGCAAGATTCAAAATCAATGCGATTATACTCTTACTTGCATGCCGAGCTCTCGAGTGGGAACAACAATCACAGCTTGCACAGAAGATCGTTGAGGATTTATTAGAGAGAATATGAGTAACAGGTATGTCAATGTCTTGCCTGAACCTGTCTAGATTACAAAAAAACATATACAACATTAACCGTTCTGACAATTTCAAAGAGAGAACATTTTTGATGGATATAAAAGGATGAGAAAAGGACTTGGGCATGGAGGATGCAATCACGGCCAGTAAACAAAGTAGGTAGAGCTTCTCTTTGAATATCCGTGGGAACTACAAACCCAGTTTCTTCCATCCTGCAACGTTTTTCGAAAATCTATTCATCAAAATTTCGAATTTCATACTTCTCAAGTCAAATACTACCGGGAAAAAAAGAAGCTTGCCTGTCTAAAATATGCTCCGGGACAAATCCTTGGCAGATGCTTCGTAGAGTCAGAGCAGTTGTTTCAGTGGCACCGTTGCTTTCGATTTCAGAGCAAGCGTCGGTGACGGCTCGGGAGCTAGTAATTCGAGAATTGGAGGAAGGTTCGAGAGCTCTCCTCGTCGTAGCCGAGGAAGTGGAGTGAAAGAAAGTAAGCTTTTGTGTTGAGAAGAGAGGAGAAGGATGAAAGTGTGAGAATTTAGGGAGGAGCGCGAAATGAGGAACAAAGAGAAGCTGGGACGACGCCATTGATGAGCGAGCACCTCCGCAAAAGGGAAAATCGGAGAAGAAGGATAACGAACCAGAGTCACTCTTCTTCCGTCGCCGTATGCTATGGTTTTTGAGCTTCGTTAATAAAATTCTACTTTTTTACAATTTTACTGAAAACTTTTGGGAACAAATTTAACAATTTACTTCATTTCATTCATGATATTCATAATTCTGCTTGTGGAAGATTTGTCACAATTTTGTAACTGAATCAACTTACTTTGATAATATTCATCATCTCTCATTCATCTTTTCTTTTGAACCTCTCGACAAACCATAATAATGGTTCATACCAAAAACAAATACATTGATGATCCTAGTTGATTTTGTTTGTTTGTTTTGCTCCTTTTTTCTATGGTTTTATACCAATCCCATTGGAAAAACAATGCAACGAGTCTGATTAGACCACCGAACATAACTTCAACGAAAGCAAGCCAAACCGATCTCTGAGGGGACATGCCTGTGCTCGCAATAGATAGTAATTAAGTACCCTATGAAATGGCAAGTCACAGTGAAGTTTCCTGCTTTGATACCATGGAGACATATCTTGGCTACTTTGGTTTTCATCGAACCAGAGGATGCAGCTATGATGGAAGTCAGCTCTGGCCTCTTCTTCTGTTCTGAGAACCCAAACAATAAAAAAATCAAATATTATCTCATTATGAATCTCAACTAAGAACATCAATCAGTATAATGAGACGTCCACTTGTTAATCCACAACCCTAGCTTATGTTTTCATGAGGTATACTTTGTCATATTCTACATATCCATGATGAAGAAATGATCTTTAAAGAGAGTCAAGAGATTGTCTTACCTTGCTCAAACTAAATTAGATATTCATACTCGTATCTTCGCCTATGCTTTTTTGCATTCTCTTTCTTTTCTTTGAATTTATTTTAAGAAAGAGAGGAAAAATGTGAATATGTGATATTTCCTGAAAACTATTAGAGATTTTAATAAAAAATGGAAAGTTCACCATCATGATATTTTACTCTAAATAGAAAATACTAAGAGAATGAGAATTAATAATGGGAGGGAGAGAGAGAGAGAGAAGGAAAGAGATGGGCATGTGAGTGTGAGTGGCAAGACAGAAGGTGTGTGAGCTTGTGACAGTCTTAGATCTGACTTTTTTATTTATATTCAGACAGTGTGGCAAACTCGTCTGTGTTGTCCCAAAAGATATTGATTGATTGAAGAGAGACAGAGAGAGAGAGAGATACATAGAACATTTGCTAATCTCACATGGGGTTTGTCTTTACACATTCCTCCACCAATCTTGTTGTAATCACGCAACAGATTTTGCAAGTTGATTTTTAATTAAATCCTTCAAATATTACAACAAATGGAGAAGTCAGTGAATTTCTCTAAAATGACAAGAAAAAGTTACATTAAAACAAGACCACACTTGGAACCCATCTCCAAGACCTTCCTCATAGATTCCTTATTCTTCGCTGATTTACAAACAAATCAATCTTATGCATCTATAAGATATACTATTAAATAATTATATGAATCAATCACACAATGACCATGAATCTTGTAAAACGATTCAAGTGTAGATAGATGCTGCATCTCTGTAGGTTCTTCTTGGGATAGAAGCATGAGCATTACTAGTGATCATGCTGCTCCTGTTGTTGTTGTTGCTCTTGTTGTAGTGAGTGGGGACCGCACTTCTCGAGTTGTCTTGATACTGTTGTCTGTTTTGATGAAGAGCGTGTTGTTGCTTGGCGTTGAAGGAAGTAAACCTGCCTTGCTTCGGATGATGAGGTCTTCTTCTGGGCTGAGAAGATTTGGGGATGAACACACCAGTCCCTTTGCTCTGTTCTTGATGATACACATATGGAGCCGTTTGGTATCCTCCTCTGAACATACCCTGTTTCCACAAAGATTCAAGAAACACAGTTAGACAGATGTTTAGAGAGAGAGAGAGAGAGAGAGAGAGAGAGAGAGAGAGAGAGAGAGAGAGAGAGAGAGAGAGAGAGAGAGACCAAGTGTATGGAGAGAGGAACAAACCTGGAATGAGAGAGAGGCGGAGGAGGAGGAGAGAGATACAGGGTTCAACTGTTCATCTTCATCCATGATGAGAAGAGAGATCTGTTTGCTTATGTCTGCAAAGAAGACATCATCATCAAGCTCTAACTCCATAGCCATATATCTTGGCTTTCCAAGTATCTACTTCTGTAGAAACAAGTCTTGTGTATTTTTTTTTCTTTGCTTTCAAGTGGAGTTCGAGGGAATGTTGAACGAGTCAAATAAATAGGCAATGAAAAAATTGCCCCTTAGAGAGAGAGAAGAGCATGTGGGTGGGAGAGTAGGGCCAGAGATAAGAAAGAGATTTAGAACAATGTAAAAATCTAATCTGGCTAAGTCCCCACAAAACACAACATGAAGGACAGAAGGAGGTTGTGCATTGATGTTATCCAGTTGTTAAATCTTTTAAAGATAGAAATCAGACTTCACAAACAACCCATTTCCACTCTGTTTGTATTAATACACTAATTACATAGCTCTTATTTTAAACAAAAACGTTTAATACTTTTACCAAATTACTCCACCAATAGAATCCAGCTGAACCAACATTCTATATCAATAGATACCCTTGGGTTACATTATCTATCATGATGAAATCTTTGTTATGGTTATAAGATCCTAAAACAGCCACATCCGAAGACAGTTTGTGGTGGGCAAATGAGGAAATGGACAATACACAATTTGGATTTTGGATTTTGGATTTTGGAGAGAGAAAGAAAGAGAGAAAATCTAACTCATTGATATGATATGGTTTGAGGATAGTGTTTGAGTGAAGTAGGGTCACACACAGATCTTGCTTGATGATAGTTCATCTAAACGATTTGCCAAGAAAATCTTGATGCTCTCTATATGGTTTATGTACACAATTATCTATTTACTATTCACTTTCCAATTTAAAGGAAAACATGAAGGAGATCATATCACTTTTTCTTTTTCCTTTGTAAAATATGATTTTAATTCAGTTTTAGCCTTTGATTAGTGATTTGCATGCTCAAAACTTGACCATTGACTGGTGATAATGAGGAAAGAGGTCACAGAACTTACCTTATCTCTCTCGACCCATACTACGTTTTCAAAAGACCAAGTGTTAAAGTCTCCAAGATCAGTATGAAAGGAAAGGTACAAGTGTAAGCAAGTATAGCCACAAACGGAACAAGAGAAAAAAAGAAAGTATATAACAAGATAAGTTTTCTAAAAAATATAAAAAGACAAGTTATAAAAATTAATACGATGAGTTGTTTTTCTAAATAAAAAGTTTTGGAGGAATATATAACTGACTGACTGCAAAAATCATTCAAGTGCTAATTGAGACGAAAACTTCGTGTAATGTTAAACTCAAAGATTAACACCCTGTCAAGTTTTATGCAATGTTTCTGTGCTATTTTGTGTTAGTTCTATGAAAAACACGGATCGATATTTGAAATTGAGAACCACAGAATCCTGATAATATCATTGTCTAAAACTCAAACTCGGAGACCAGATCAACTTGTTCACATCTTCGAGGTTAAGAATAATCATAGTAAAACAAATTTTTTTTTCCATCACGCAGTAATAATTTGTGTCACAGCTACTATTAACGACAGAACCAAAAAAGACCAATAATAAGAACAGGACAAGTCAAAGCTGTCCAATTATCATCTAGCTGCGAGCAGGGTTGTTGCTCTCTCAGAGTTCATGCTCCAATGGCTGTATCCATGTCTGTAACACAATCAGCTCCTTTGAAAACAACCCTTAGTTTCGTTAAGCTCGACTGTTTCTCTTCGTTCTTGAGGGCTGTGCCAAACACATGGACAGTGTCCTTCGGGACTCTTCCCATCAGGTCATAGAGCGGCTTGCTTAGGTTTGGTCTGTGCATCTCTTCTAGAACCGGAGGCGCCTGCATGTACAGGCTGTCTTTCCCGTGTTTGACACTTGCTTTCGACAATAGAAGCTTCGGGTGTTCTTCAAGCATGTCGATGAACTAAGAGAGAAACAAAACATGAACACAATGGCAGAGAATTGAGTTGCGTAATTTTAATTGGACAAACACAGACGATAATACTTTTACCACGAGTAAATCAAGAATCAAGAAAGAGGGCGGTAAAAAGCTTGGAAACGGTGAGAGGACTCAAAAGAAACACAAATAAGCATCAACACAGGGATGAAAATAAATGCATCAACGGAGGTGGAACTAAAGAAGAGGATAAGGATCACGGCGGTATTAAATGAGAACGAGACAATAGGGCTAGAGGAAGGACCTTTTGCAAAGTAATTGAGGTGTCCAGCTCAATCAGAATGCCCGGACCACATACAAGACAGTCCTTATCTCTCACGAACTCGGTTACTTTAGTGTGGAGACCTTCTCCACCGTTATACCTTGCAAAAATGAAAACCAACCAAATTGCTTGAGGATAACATTGAATTTTCTTAGCGAATTCTTGTAGTTAACTAGAAAAAGCTGTGGTCCAAACTATGAACACAAGCAAGTTAAGGAAGAAAGAAAGAAGTAAACCATACGTCAGATAATTTGCAAGTGTTTTGCTGCATCCAGATACAATCTTCAAGGTTTCAAGTGCACAAGCTGCGGATATAATTGCGTTGGTGGATGCAATCGCCGGTATAATGTTTTTAACCACACCCTATAAGCAAAAACAAAGGGTTCTCTCTCATAGTCGGTTCTTTAACGAATACAAACACATGCTTAACGGTCACACGTAGGAATATTGCAGAAAGTGAAAACAAAAAAAAAATGAGAATAGTTGCATACTTGTGTGAGGGAGTATGTGACACCCGGAATTCCAAAAAGCTCGGCTCTCTTAACAGCCTGCGAAGATAATGCAGAATATGAAGTAAAACCAAAACTAAATCCTGAGAGAGCCAAGTCCTTTAGGAGAAAAATAAATGACTTACCTCATCATAGACCCACTTCATATGTTCTGGTTCATCAGGATCAAAGGATTTTCCACCATGAACCTTCAGAAAAATCGAGTCTTGGTGACCAAAACGAATACATATTCACTTGGATAAGAAGAATCTCTTTCAAAGAGACTACAAAGAGAATCCATTCACAATTTCACATACCTCAGGCCACTTAATTAGATGAGCATACTCAATGCAATGAGCTGCATTCCTTGGGGTTTCTGCAAGAGTGCACAGAGGAAACTTGACTTGAGGTGGGAAAAGCCAAATTGTGCACTCAAAACAGGGTGTAACTCCAGGCACGATAACTCTAGCATGACCCTTGAATCCTTCAGTTCCCCCATCTACCATCGGTTTGATTGTTTCTCTTCTCGGGGTATCATCTTCTTCATACTCTATATATTTCACAAGCACATAATCAGAACAACACACAAAGACTGAGAACTTAGAAAGCCGAGAGGTAAACAACAGTTCTTGGTTAACTATTCAGAGTCTACGAATTTACATACCAAGAAACCCGCAAGCCACGCCATTGATGTATCTCCGAGCTTCGATTGAATCAAGACCAAGGGCAATGATACTAAAATTGCTGTAGAAGTCGAGCTCTTTGTCTTCTATACGTGAAAAATGCGGCACAATCTCCACTCCGCTCACTCTCTCCATGACACGCTTTGCTGCTACCTCTGCTTTAGGCTTTCCTACGTCTTCAAGCCTAAAACAAGACCAAACCAAACCAAATCAATCAAACATCCGTGCAACTATCAATTCCAACAGAGATAGCTACCAATTTTCTAGAAACCGTACTGAGATACCACACACAAGAGATTCAGGGAACATGAGAAAAGAGATTAATAAGTTTAAATCGTCAACGAATTTCAACTCTTGAGGGTTTCTTTATCTTCTTATGAAAGCCAGTTCCAAGCCATGTCCAGATTAAAACGTATTGCGTAAACCATAGATTTAACTATTGAGAGAAAGAAGGAGAAATTGCCTAAAGAGGAACTGGCGATTGAGATTGGTGACCTCGATGCGGTCCATGTCGATCACATCCAGATTACGAAAACCTGAGAGAGCCAAGTCCTTCAGGAGCTCACAACCCAATCCACCCGCACCAACCACCAAGATTCTCACATAATCCCGTATGTCGTCTCTCAGCTGTATAAGAAAAATTTAGCTCAGAAAACCTTAATTTACAGAAAAAACTCAAGAGAGAAGCAATCAAACAGATTATCATATAAAACCCGAAGCATAGATATATTATTGAGAAATTAAGGCTTTTACTTCGGTTCCGGGATAGAAGTCGGGGCCGACGAGATTCCCAGCTCTGAGAAGAAGCTTGTCGAGGTCTCTTGACTTACTCTGAGGAGCATCGAGATCAGCCATTGAAACGGAAGGGCGACGAAGAGAAAGAGAGAGTGGCGATTCACAAAAAACTGATGACGGAGGAGAGCTCGAAGGAGGCAGACGAAGCCGACACACTGCCAACGGAGCTCCGAAACCTCTCTGGCTTCTCTTGAACACGATCCTTATACTTACTGGGTAAACAATGGGCTGGGCCTAAAAACTAAATTATATTAGAAAAATGGGCTGGGTCAAAAATGGGCTAGGCCTATTTTAGCAAAATTCCTCTCGGCTTTTACCAATCCACTTCAAAGGTTTTTCCAATCTTATTACAATAGACGCAGAGGAAGACAAAGAAAAACACAGAAACGTACAAAGATGGAGACTATAATTGTTGTCATAGGCATCGTTTGTGTTTGTGTGAGTTCGCTTCTGGCATGTTGTATCCTCGTCGTTTGCACCGATGACGACGAGAACCAGAAGATCCTAGTTGACGTGGAAAAGGGTGAAACGGCCAAACTCACACAAGAAGTATCAGAGTCTAAGAAGGACTCGTGTGCCGCCACTTATGGCACTTTCCTAAATATTCAACGTAATCGTCAAGCCCAGGTCTCTCGTCCTTACCATCATCACCATCATCGTCATCATCATCAGCACCATCACCATCACGTTTCACGTTGAGACCAGTCCCGATTGCTGGATTTATATGAATAACTCGCTAGCTCTCATCTTTCGATTTCTTTTCTGTTGGTATAGTTTAGTTGATTACATACTATGGATATAAGGAATTGAAGTTCTTCGAGAGCTACACTTACCAATCCCTTTGGTTCTATTTTTCTTTGATTTGTATAATAAAAGTCCTATTAGTTTCCGATATTTTCCTGAGAAAAAGGGTTCAAATATTCAATCCTGGACTGATGAATACACTCAGATCTTTGAAGGCAATGAGTTATATCTTTACAACCAAAGACGCTTTAACCTAATTAGTAATTACAAACCCCCACCCAATTAACCTAATCACCCAATCAAAAACCTCTGAAAAAGCCTCTACAGAGCAGCAACAACACCTGTTTTACCCAGAGATGTTTACGTAAAGTTGTCTGGATCGCCATTGTTTGATCTTGTATAACCTTCATGCTTAAGAAACAGTGCAAAAAGAATCTCATTCCACGAATCAGGAACTCCAGGGAGACACCAATGGCTGCAGTCTTCCCTGTGGAATGGCGCAGGACCAGCCGAGCCCAAGTAGTACAGTGACGGGTGACCATCGTTTCTTTGAGCAGCCATGGCCGTTATCTTCAACAGCTTCAGCTTAACCGTCTCTGATCTATTCAAGTAGTATGGAGACGACACGACCTCTTGAAGGAGCTTTAGATGTTCCCATGTCTCTAATGGAACCAGAGAGGCTCCAAAATCAGGCAATGTCTCCATATGACATGTCCCTCCTGTTCTCCAATCTCCTCCTCTGAATGAAAGAAACCCGCAATTAAATCAAAACGTTAAGGTTTGATCGAAGCTTCTTGTTTTCTTCTAATCATGGAGTACAAACCTGAAATGCACGGGGGCAAATGTGCGAAAGAAGACTTGTGTTCTGTTTGAATCAACCTCTTCTTGTATCCATTTCACAACGGTCTTCATAGCTCGTCTATACGCATGCTCTATCTTCATTCTCATCCTCACTCTTTCTCCTACCTGAAAGTAACAGCCTCTGCACAGTAAACAAAACCAAGATCGGTCAGGGAACCAAAACACACAAACTGATTGGTTCACAAGAAGAAAGAAGCTAACCCGCGGATAGTTTTCTCGTAGTTCCACCAATGACCCGTGTTAAACACTAGAATATCCGCGTCTATCCACTTGTCGGCACTCCAGTCCATCGTCTCCAGCTTAAGAGTCGTCTTTACCTTTTCTGGTGATCCTTTAGGTGGACGGCTTTGGAGAACCAAAAACGGTGCTCTATAGTATTCGACTGTGCAGTTGTAGTCTTGAAACATGAACACGAAGAAGCCCATGTGCTTTGTGATGGTTTTATTGTTCACTTCGTATATCGAATCCTTGTTATCGACTGCAGAAGATAGCAGACAAAGAAGAGACTCCCACTGGTTTCTTCCAATCGAGTCTCCTACAAATACAAGCCGCTTGTTCCGTAGTTTCTCCAGCATCAACTTCGCATCAAACCTGATCCATTTCATAACACAAAAGAGTGAGCTAAGTACCTGAATTCAAAGCTAAGTAACTGAATTCAAAGAACAACTACAGTAGAACAACGAGGGTCTAGTGTTCTTCCTCCTAACTAATCTAAGTCCATGCCAAAAACGTTTCCTTGATCCCAGCATGAAACAAATCCTAAACACATAATTTCTAATTCCAGACAATCTCTGAAACGGGTTTGTATTTATCAGTAACAAAACGCAGAAAACAGTACCTGGGCAGAACACAATGTGTAGGTTGCCATCTCCACTTGGTGTAGAAATAATCAGGTCTCCCGAACTCAGTGCATCTGAATCCTTCATCGAGAAAGGCGCAATCTTTGGACTGATACAAGGGATACGATTCGTCCCAAACCCATCTCCCATCGAACACATCACAACCATTCCCACTCTCTTCAAGAAACTCAACTCTGTTTTCGTCGGTGTTGATGTTGTTGTTGCTATCTCCGGGCCCAGCATCGAGCTCCTTGAGCCAAAGGAACCTCTCCGATTGATCCGAAAAGCCGTGACTTTTGGTTTTAGCCACGGTTCTGTAGTCGAGGTAGAAGAAGCTGAAGACTAAACACAAACCCACCAAGAAAAAACCCAAGACTCCCAGTGACGGCTCGAATACGAGCCTTAAACGCTTGAATCTCTTGACTACTTCGGAGATTGGCATAGCTTCATCGTCTTCTTCGAGAGACGGGTTCTTCGACATCTGAGGTTTTGGAATGAGATTACAACTGCGAAAGTTGAAGACTTTTTTACTATTCGCTGGGTTGATTCTTCTTCTTCCTCGTCTTCTTCTTGTGGCTCTCTAAAAGAAATCCAGAAAGGGGGAGAAAATGAATGAGAAGAAACAAGAAAAGACAAAGGACAATGGCCAGTGAAGCTGAAGAGGCAGCTTTGCTTGAGATATTAGATTCGTCAAATTAAGAAAAAAAATGAATTTAGCGGACAAAGATACAAATCTAAAGCTGCAACTAGCGATTTCGGCTTGTTTTCAAAATCTAAACAAGTGAAAACAATAAAGAACACTCTCAACTTTATCTTGACCGTCTTGTTTCACAAAAGGGAAAGAGTAGAGAGAGACTTGGAGAGTGTGTATGAATCGTGGGTCCTTTTAAGTGGTGGTGACTCGTAGATCCATAAGATGACACACGCGCGAACGTGGCGCGTAACAGGATTATTTACGTGAAGAGAAATGGTGAGAGTGGTGGGCCCCAAAGACGGCGAAGCTTTTCAAAACGCACTAAGGCGTTTGGCGCGTTTAGTATTGTTCTGAACGTGATTCTTAGCAAAATTAGCGTTTTAGTCAAAAAAATTGTGTATATGTGATGACTTGTCTTCTAATGATTATCCTTTTAAAAATTTCTGTGTTTTGGTTTGGAAACTTTCCTCCACGAGTTATGATTTCTTTCCGAATATTTCCGAATATTGCAAAGTTTCTGTATTAATAGTTGATTTACTACCAAAATAGCTTTCTAGCATACTTGAGTTTTTTTAGTTTCTGTTTTTGTTCCGCGTAGAGTCATATATATTGTTTGACCTGTAGGATTTCTCTATGTAGGTTTATAAATTGAATTTGGAAATCAGATGGAATCTTCTAATGATTAAAGAAAAGTAAATTAATTTTAGGAAGCTCGAAGCTCCGACTCGAAGCCGTCCATGCCGGAGATTTGCATGAACACATCACATGTCATTTGTCTAGGTACAAGATTCAATGAGTCAGAGAGTGAGAACCGAGAAGAGGTTGCGTACCGGCCAAGATCAAATTTACCTTTACTCGTCTTATTAGGAGGTTCCCAAGATCATTTAAAAGCCTTTGTTAAACTGATGACTTATAGCTAATTCTAATTTTTTCAAATCATAATTTGTTCGAACTCTAAAAGGTAGAAACAGTGTAAGAGACTCATAATAAATCCATTTACAATTCAGCCAGTCAACTTTGATTGAGAGAGCAGCAATCACAGAAGTCTCTGCCTGTGTGATTTTTTGCAAACGCCGCTCGTCGTAAAAGAAGATCTTCGTAGGGACCAAGAAACACTGTAATTATAGTTTGAGTTCACCATAGTTCACGGTTTGCTTGAAATAAGCCATTTTCTCCGATATAGTGATGGTTCTTACTTCTTCGTCCTTGAGTTTAGTAACTTCATCAATGATTTAGACAAACTGTACTTATACTTTGATAAAATAAAATAAAAACAATGTGTTGGATAGTTACAAGATTGATCTTAAGGTTGATTTGAGATTAAGAAAACAAAGAAGCAAGGTTCGACAAAGTTCTTCCTCACACGTTCATCATAGGTCTGTCATAACAAACTGATATGTGTTCTACCTTTTCTCCTCCCACCCTTCGATTTCGATACTGTTATTGTCCCACCTCGCTTCTTCTGGTTCATCTACAAGATCAGAGAGTAAGAGAAAACACTGTGAGCACTCAAAGTTCCATTTAAGACGCAATGACTAAGAACATAAAGGGCTCACTGAGCCAAGCAAACACACTACTGTATTTGAAAATATACTGAAGGAGAAAAAAGTACTCAGAGAAACTCTAAAACCCAAAATTGCCAATTTCGGGACTGTAGAGGAAAAGATTGAGACTTTCTTTTGCAAAATTGCCAATTTTCAAAAACCCAAAGATTGAGATTTCACTTGAATCCGAGCAAAGACAGATTTTGAATCACCAAAACCCGATTGGGAATTTCAGATGCATCACGAGATTGTTCGAGACGCATTGATAACTTCCACAGTCCAGGAAATGTATCATCAACTAACCATCAATCATTCACGGCCAACAAAAAGTCTTATCTCTAAATTACACGGAAGAAAACGAAAGCTGAAGCAAGAATCGAGCGATTGAAAGAGAAGACAAGACCTTGTTGTTGTTGGTGCTGAGAAGATGGAGACTGGAGAGATCGTTCGTATTGTTCAGCTTTCTCAAGGAAAGGCTTGTATCCAAGTTCCAGTGACATGTAACCGAAAGCCAATGATCCCAACACCACCACCGATGCTCGAACCGCGTTGTCCATCGCCGTCCGCTTCATCTTCTTCGAGTCTCTGATGAAAAGAGTTTTTCTTTTTTCTTCCTTTCCTCTAAAATAATTCTACAAAATGAATATAACCCTCCGACTCAGACAAAAGGTTCCACCTTTCGGTGCTGTATCGGAACCGGTGGTTTTCTTCAGCCCTTAGAATCAACGAGAATCTGATGTTGGCGAAGCATTGCGTCATCTCTGCCTTGGGACGATTGACTTCTCACTCACCTTCTTCTTCTTCAACTGTGCTCAGAAGGCAACTGATCTTGGTACGAGCGCTTTGTGGCTCCAAAATCCATCGCCCCAAGCTCATCAGAGCAATGAGTTCCTCATCGGAGGCCGACGCTGAGAGTGTCCTAAGGACCGTGACTCCATCGCTCGACCCCAAACGACACAAAGGCCAAGCTGGTGAGAACTCTCTCCCTCGTCTCTTCGCAATTGCATTCGAATTTCAAAGTTTGAGTCTTTTGTGGTAAATTGATCTGTGTCAGGGAAGATAGCTGTGATTGGAGGGTGTCGTGAATACACAGGAGCTCCATACTTCGCCGCCATTTCAGCTTTGAAAATCGTCTGTAGCTTTTTTGTTTTCCTTAGCCATCACAGCTTCTTTCTGCTCATCCTTCGTTTAAGTTGATCAAATCACACAAAAGAGAAGACTTGTTTCTTGTCCATAATTGTAGGGTGCTGATTTGTCTCATGTCTTCTGCACGAAAGACGCAGCTCCTGTTATAAAGAGCTATAGCCCTGAGCTTATAGTTCACCCTGTTCTTGAGGAATCCTACAGCATCAGGTGAATAATCCTACTGTGTGATCTCATTCAGTAGGGTTTTTCTTAGTTACAAGCCTAGTTTCACAATCTCTATAATGTGTTATCTGGAGGTAGTCAATTGAGTGAGGAAGATAAAAGAAAAGTCCAGGAGAAAGTGATAGGGGAAGTCGATAAATGGATGCAGAGATTTGATTGCCTTGTCATTGGTCCTGGTTTGGGAAGGGATCCCTTTCTCCTGGTACAGATTCCTCTGCTCTTTGCTTCATCACATTACAGAATCTGATTTTATAAATGCTTTGATGGTTGACTTGAGGACTCTGTATTTGCAGGAATGTGTGAGTAAAATCATGGTTCTTGCCAAGAAGTTCAATGTTCCTTTTGTTGTAGATGGGGTAAGCAGTGACATATATAGCGTAAAAGATTGGATCAATCCGCTTTCTTCTTCGACCAAATATTTCGATTGTTTGATTCCATATGGCGATTCTGCAGGACGGGCTGTTTCTTGTAACAAACTCCATTGATCTTGTCGACAGCTATCCGCTTGCTGTTTTGACCCCAAATGTGAACGAGTATAAGCGTCTGGTTCAGAAAGTGCTGAACTGTGAAGTAGATGAACAGAATGCTGAAGATCAGCTACGTTCTCTGGCCAAACAGTAAGTACAAATACTCAGTTTACAAGGTCTAGAAAGAAAAAATTAGAATCTGAAACAAAAAAAAACTCCACAAGTCATCTAGAGGGAAGTATCTGATGGTGATAATGTTAAACGCCTGTGTCATTCAGGATCGGTGGCGTCACGATTCTAAGGAAAGGGAAATCTGATCTTATAAGCAACGGGGAGACAGGTGAGTTACTTCTTTTCTCAATTATTTCTTTCGATAGAGAACGTTGAGAAAAGCCAGGTGTGATTATGTCTACTTTTTGCAGTAAAATCAGTGAGCATATATGGTTCGCCAAGGCGCTGCGGTGGACAAGGCGATATTCTCTCTGGGGGGTGAGTTCAATATCATTATTTGTTCCAGTATCATTGTTATTGCTCAGAGTCTGAGCTTTTGTACATGGATTTGGTTTCGTCAAGTGTCGCAGTGTTTTTGTCATGGGCGCAACAGCTTAAATCAGATACTGAAAGGTTAGGTTCCTTCTTCATTTGCTCTGCGCAAATTTGTTTTCCTCTATCATTTTCTTGCTCGAACGTTGATTTTGAAACCAAAATGTTCAGTCCCTCTGAGAATCCAGCCATCTTGGGATGCATAGCGGCATCTGGCCTGCTGAGAAAGGCTGCATCTCTGGCGTTTACAAAACATAAGAGATCAACTCTCACAAGCGACATTATCGAATGTTTAGGGGAGAGGTATGTGTTTGTTTCTTCTTTAAAACTGCTGCATCAGAGAATCCACAAATGTTTTCGTCTCGGTCATAACATTTTCGGTTTTTTTCTTTACAGTTTGGAGGATATCTGCCCTGCATCTTAATCTGCAGAACACATGAACGAGAGTTGTCCTGTCTTCTACTACAAAAGCTGTTCCTGTTTCTGTTCTCTTGTGTCTTTTCTTCCTCAGTACTGTTCTTGTCAATAATAAAACCTGAATGCTGTGATTACCAAATAAAGATTACTACTCACAATACTCAGCACCCGTTCTCTGCCAATCTCAGTATAACTTCTTACAGATCCATCTTTGAGAGAGTAGACAGATTGAGATTTACTGGAGAAATAAGTGACGAAGAAGAGATAGAATGATTAAGAGAAGGTAGATTTTGGGGTTCTGAGACATAACTTATTAGCAGGAAGATACTAAAAACACCAGAATACAGACACGGACTGTACAAAGAAGCCAAAGGGAAAAGAGAGATACAACACTACACACATCATCACCAACCACCATTGATAGCTTAAAGTACTCATAGAACAGCTTCTTGTTTTCTCTACATCATGATTATTTTTTTGCTGTTACAGTTTGAGATTAACATATTCACGGATCTTGTCTTCTTTTACTCTCTTTCATCCTCAGTCTGCAAGAACTGCTGCTCCTTCCACCTGTTCCCACCACCATTGTGTGTGTTATGAGCCTTTTTAGATTTTGCCGAGAAAAAAAATAAAGCCCAAGTATGGTCAGTTTTTTAAAGAATCATTCACCTTAAAGGTGGCTCCCCAAATTTCTTCCTCTTTAGCAGGAATGGCAGTGATCTTGTTCTTAGGGTTCTCAAAGCTCATAAGCCCACCTAACGCCGTCGAGTAAAAACAGCCTGCAACGCATTCACGCACAAACACATTCAAATCACTC